ACCGGATGTCGATTCGAAGACGGGAATCCCAGTTACGAAGAAGCGACTCAACGATCTGGAGCTGAGCTTGCTTCATCTGCAGCAAAATGTCGACATCCCCGAAATATCGTTGACCTTCCATCCGATCGTCCAGAGTGTGCTCGATACAGCCGAAGCCAGCCATTCGAGGGCATCGATAGACGGGATCGCTTCCGGCCTGTTGCAGGATAGTACGTTTCTGAACAGGCTTCAGGCCAATGTCAACACCTGGATCAAGTCGATCCAGGGGATCACCAGAATGACAAAGGATAGTGGGTCAAATCACAACCAGGAGTTCAACACGGCAAGCCAGGAAGTCAATTTCTGGCTTTCGATGGAATCTGCTCTGGAGGGTATTGAGGGCCAATTGAGGAGTGAGGGTGTTCTCCTGACACTCGAGATCCTCAAGCATGCCAAGCGTTTCCAGGCCACTGTGAGCTTCACGGCGGACACTGGGTTAAAGGAGGCCATGGACAAGGTGCAGAAGTACAACCAGCTTATGCGCGACTTCCCACTGGACGAGCTTCTCTCAGCCACCTCTCTTCTCAAGGCGCAGGATGCCATTCGGGAGATCTTTCATCATCTGAACAAGAAGCTGAGGATCTGCCCCTACCCGATCCGGAGGGCACTCCCCCTTGTTGAAGCCATTTCCGCGGATCTGAACGATGTGTTGGTCCGACTACTGCCAGGTACGGAGCTGGTAAATCTGGACTACGACCAGTTTCGCCACATCATGAAGACCTGCGACGACATCTTCAAAACCTGGGAGGATTCAGTCAAGGAATTCACCAACGTGGCTCGTGAGGTCACTCGACGAAGAAACGAGAAGTTTATTCCCATCAAGATCAACAATAAGCACTCGGAGCTGGAGTCGAGGATACGATACGTGAGCACCTTCCGCGACAACCATGAACAGCTGCAGCGAACGATTGTGAATGTTCTTGGTCCCAGGGCCACCATCCCAGGCGTCCCCGAAACCACGGGATCTGACGGAGTCGTCATCGAGGAAATGGGCGACGTCGATGCTGTCGAAGAAGTCAACCAAGCTTGGGATGCGCTGCAGAATGTCGACCTGTTGGATGTTAGTGAGCAGGGCAAGGATCGCTGGGTGCTGGCTGAAAATCTCTATAATGAGCGAACAACTCGTGTTGAGAACTCCATCATTGCCAGGCTCCGAGATCGCCTCGGAACAGCAAAGACGGCAAATGAAATGTTCCGCGTGTTCTCCAAGTTCAATGCGCTGTTTGTGCGACCCAAGATTCGAGGTGCGATCCAAGAATACCAGAATCAGCTCATGGACCATGTCAAGCAGGCAATCAACGGCCTTCACGAGCGGTTCAAGCAGCAGTACGGTCACTCCGAAGCACACGCCATGTCACAGCTTCGCGACCTCCCTCCTGTGTCGGGAGCCATCATCTGGGCGCGCCAGATCGAGCTTCAGCTTGATGGCTACATGAAAAAGGTTGAAGCTGTGCTCGGACCTGGCTGGCAACTTCACTCCGAGGGTGAGAAGCTGCAGCGCGAAAGTGACCAATTCAAGGAAAAGCTCGAAACACGAAAGATTTTCGAAGCCTGGGCTGCGGACGTGACCAGGAGGAAGATTTCCATTTCAGGCTTGCTCTTTGACATCGCCCGTGTGCGATCAGCAGGTGGCATTCTGGAGCTCACAGTCAACTTCGATCCTCAGATTATCACTCTGTTCAAGGAGACTCGCAACCTCACATGGCAGTCCTACACTGTTCCCCATATCATTGCCACTGTATCAAAGGATGCCAAGCGTGTGTACCCCTATGCTGTTAGTCTAATGGAGAGTGTCAGGACACTCTCGCAAACTTTGCGACAGATATCTACTATGGGAGAAGAGGCCGTTTTACTCCATGGATACCGAAATGATGTATATAAGCTGATTGCCGAGGGTGTACCCCTGCGATGGGAGTCGTTCATCAACTCGCATGAGCTGTTCTACGCTGATCAGCGACAAACGAGACCACTTCTAGCTGGAGGTACTGATCTCGGCTTGACAAAGAACACTGAGAGCAAGCACGGTATGTTCATCCGGGGTTTCGCTTCTGCCGTTTCGACCCTACAGAGCAAGGCTGTGTCCCTCAGTCACACCTACGTCACGGTTGAGCAGGCGCTTAAAGATCTCGGGACATGTGACTACGATCCCGCGGCCCTCCAAGCTCATTTGAGTACGATCCAGTCTGCTGTTGATCAGCTGAACCTGGAGCGATATGTCAACCTGGACTTCTGGGTCGAGGGGCTCAATGCCAAGGTCCAATCTGTGCTTCTCACGCGCCTTCAAACTGCTATCCAGGCTTGGATCTCAGCCTTTGAAGATGACACTGTTCCTGTTGAAGGCAAGAAGCAAGAAGGCCCTTCCATGAAGTCTCTGACCCTTGAGTTGGCAATGCGCAACCAAGTCATCTATCTGGACCCCCCTCTGGAATTTGCCCGAGCCAGCTGGTTCCAACACCTCCACGACTGGCTTGGTATTGTATGTAATCTGCGAAAGATCAAGGCCACTCGGTACCAACTCAGCCTTAACACCGCGGTCATCGAGGAGACTCGCTTCACAGACCTTCCTAGTGAATGCACGGGCATCCTTCAACGAGTGTACATTTCCCTCGAGAAGAAGCTGTCGGAGATCAGCGGATATGTTGACGAGTGGCTTCAGTTCCAGTCCTTGTGGGACCTTCAGTCTGAGCAAGTGTATGATGCTCTGGGAGAGCAGTTGTCGCGTTGGTTGGAGCTCTTGCAGGATATCCGAAAGACCCGCACTACCTTTGACACACAAGATGTTAGCCGATCGTTTGGACATATCATAATTGACTACTACCAGGTTCAGACCAAGGTGAACGACAAGTATGACCAATGGCAGCGAGACATCTTGATGAAATTCGCAACACGCCTCGGAAACCGCATGCGCGAGGTGAACGCGGAGATCGAGAAGGCTCGCAAACATCTCGAGACTCAGAGCTCAGACGCTTCTTCCACTGCACAGGCAGTCCAGTTCATTACCGTTGTGCAAAGCTGCAAACGTAATGTGAAGATGTGGGCACCGGAGATTGACATGTTCCGCCAGGGTCAGTCTACATTGGTCAGACAACGGTATCAGTTCCCCCAGGACTGGCTTCACATCGAGCACATTGACAGTCAATGGGAGGCATTGCGAGAGATTTTGGAGAAGAAGTCAAGGATTGTGCAGGATCAGACCGACGCTTTGCGTGCTAAGATTGTTGCTGAAGATAAGCTCGTAAATGAGCGTATTGCAGAGGTCGCTGCGCAATGGAACGAAGAGAAGCCAGTCTCTGGTACTATCCAACCAGATGTGGCTTCGGCTACCTTGACTGCCTTTGAAAACAAAATTTCCAAGCTCCAGGACGATTGGGAAATGGTGGCCAAGGCAAAGGAGGCCTTGGACATTCCTGCTAGTCCTGAAATGTCACTTTCCGCCACTCTTGAGGAGGTCCGAGACTTCCAGTCTGTTTGGTCGAATCTGTCCACCATTTGGTCTAGCCTCAACGAGACTCGTGATATCTTGTGGACTGCTGTTCAGCCTCGAAAGATTCGTTCCAAGATTGACGACCTCATCAAGAGCACCAAGGAAATGCCGAGCCGAATGCGACAATATGCTGCGTTTGAGCACGTCCAGGGAATCCTTCGCTCTCTGCTTAAAACGAACTCGATCCTGTCTGATCTGAAGTCCGATGCCATCCGGGAACGCCATTGGCAGAAGATTTACAAGCAGATTAAGCCGCAAAAGAGATTCTCCCCGAGCTCAATGACTCTTGGTGACGTGTGGGACCTCAACTTGGTTGCCACCGAAGTCATTGTCAAGGATATCATCGCCCAAGCTCAGGGTGAGATGGCTCTTGAGGAATTCTTAAAACAGGTTCGCGAGACATGGCAAAATTACGCTCTCGAGATGGTCAACTACCAGAGCAAGGTCAAATTGATTCGTGGCTGGGATGATCTATTTGCCAAATGTAGTGAAAACTTGAATTCTCTCCAAGCTATGAAGCATTCGCCATACTACAAGGAGTTCGAAGAAGAGGCAGTCTCCTGGGAGGACAAGCTGAATCGCGTTCACGTCTTGTTCGACGTATGGATTGATGTGCAGCGTCAGTGGGTGTACCTTGAAGGTGTTTTCACTGGCAACGCCGATATCAAGCATCTCCTCCCTATTGAGTCCGGACGGTTCGCAAACATCAATAGCGAGTTCATGGCTGTCATGAAGAAGGCTGCCAAGTCACCCTATGTTCTTGATGTGCTCAACATCCCGAATGCTCAAAAATCGCTCGAGCGTTTGGCAGAAATGCTGAACAAGATTCAGAAGGCATTGGGTGAATATCTTGAGAAGGAAAGAGTCTCCTTCCCACGATTCTACTTCGTGGGTGATGAAGATCTTTTGGAGATGATTGGTAACAGCAATGATACGCTGCGAATAGCTAAGCACTTCAAGAAGATGTTCGCAGGTTTGTCCGGGCTCATCATGGATGATGAGACGGTCATCTCAGGCTTTACGTCAAAAGAGGGCGAAAGCGTAAGGCTGAAGAAGGAAATTTCTTTGGCCAAGGTGCCTCGAATTAATGACTGGCTGGCGATGTTGGAGGCTGGCATGAAGTCAACTCTTGCCGAACTCCTTGCCGAGGCCGTGGAGCAATACACGCCCATCTTCGAATCTGAACAGATTGATCGCGAGCAACTTGTCGCCTTCATGGATGCGTTCCCCAGTCAAATTGTTGTGCTTGCCACTCAAGTCGCCTGGACGACAGCAGTCGAGAACTCCCTGGCTGCTGGCGGTCAAACCTTGCAGACCTTGTTTGACCGTGAGGTTCAGGTTCTTAGTGTCCTGGCAGATACGGTTCTAGGGGATCTTCACGTTCTCCAGCGCAAGAAGTGCGAGCAGATGATTACAGAGTGTGTGCACCAGCGGGATACCGTTGAGAAGCTCGTCAACGCCAAGGCCGACTCTCCAAGCTACTATCTCTGGCAGCTCCAGATGAGATACGTGTACGTACCCGAGGGAGAGTTCATTGATCGACTTGCCGTAAAGATGGCCAACGCGAAGCTGAACTATGGCTTCGAGTACCTGGGTGTCCCCGATCGTCTCGTCCGAACCCCACTGACAGACCGATGTTTCCTCACCCTTACACAGGCTCTCTGCCAGCGACTCGGTGGTTCGCCTTACGGTCCTGCAGGAACCGGAAAGACGGAGTCAGTCAAGGCCCTTGGTCTGCAGCTGGGGCGATTTACTCTTGTCTTCTGCTGTGACGACACTTTCGACTTCCAGGCCATGGGCCGTATCTTCCTCGGTATTTGCCAGGTCGGTGCTTGGGGTTGTTTCGACGAGTTCAATCGTCTTGAGGAGAGAATTCTTTCTGCTGTCTCCCAGCAGATCCAAAACATTCAGCTTGGCTTGAAGCAAGGTGTAGAGGATGACAAGGCGCAGATCGATTTGATTGGCCGTCAACTTCATGTCAATGAAAACACTGGCATTTTCATCACAATGAATCCGGGTTATGCTGGTCGTTCAAACTTGCCTGACAACTTGAAGAAACTCTTCCGCAGCGTTGCCATGTCCAAGCCCGACAAAGAGCTTATTGCCGAAGTGATGCTCTACTCCCAGGGTTTCAACCAGGCCAAGACTCTGTCCAAGCAGACAGTTCCATTCTTTGACTCGTGTTCGAAGAAGCTGTCTAAACAAGCCCATTACGATTTTGGTCTCCGTGCACTGAAGAGTGTATTGGTCAGCTCTGGTGGCTTGAAGCGTGCAAGGCTCTTAGATGCAGAGGGGGATTCTCAGGAAGTCTTTGAGCCTGAGATCATTGTTCAGAGTATTCGGGAGACTATTGCACCCAAGCTCATCAAGTCTGATGTGGACATCATGATGACTATTGAGAAGGACTGCTTCCCAGGTGTGGATTATGTACCGGCCAATCTCCAGGCGCTCGAGGATGCCATTCGCAAGCTCGCAGCGGAGCGACACTTGGTTGTCACGGATGTCTGGATGACCAAGATTCTCCAGTTGTACCAAATCCAGAAGATCCACCACGGTGTGATGATGGTTGGTAACTCTGGATCAGGAAAGTCAGTCGCTTGGAGACTGTTGCTTGATGCTCTTCAGGCTGTTGAGGGCGTCGAGGGCGTGTCCCACATTATTGACTCCAAGGTCATGTCAAAGGAAGCCCTATATGGTAATCTCGACTCAACCACACGTGAGTGGACCGACGGTCTATTCACAAGCATTTTGCGTAAGATTGTCGACAATCTCCGTGGTGAAGACGGGAAACGGCATTGGATTGTCTTCGATGGTGACGTTGATCCAGAGTGGGTCGAAAACTTGAACAGTGTCCTCGACGACAACAAGCTTCTCACTCTGCCCAATGGTGAACGTCTCAATCTTCCACCCAACGTTCGTATCATGTTCGAGGTCGAGACACTGAAGTATGCTACACTTGCCACCGTCAGTCGATGTGGTATGGTGTGGTTCAGCGAGGACACTGTGACTTCGGATATGATTGTGGCCAACTACTTACAGGCCCTTCGTAGCGTTCCTTTCGAGGACCTGGACGAAGACAGCGTTGGCACAGGACAGAGTCCTGCAAAGACCCTGGCTGTGCAGGGTGAGGTTGCTGATCTTCTCACAACCTATCTTACGGAGGAGAACTTTGCTATCCAGGCGCTTGAGCGAGCCATGTCTTACAACCACATCATGGACTACACCGCTGCTCGTGTGCTCACTACGCTCTTCTCGCTTTTGAACAAGGCTGTCAGAGATATTATCGAATACAATGGTCAACATTCGGACTTCCCCCTCGATTCTGACCAGATTGAGGCTTTCATTTCCAAGAAGCTGCTGCTTGCTCTGGTTTGGGCCTTTACTGGAGACTGCCCGCTCAACGATCGAAAGGCCTTCGGAGATGCGGTTTGTGCCTTGGCCAACTTTGGTTCCCCGCCGCTGGATGGCTCAAGCTCTTTGATCGATTTCGACGTCACCCTACCCCAGGCCGAGTGGGCTCCATGGCAAGCTCAGGTGCCCTCAATCGAGGTCAACACGCACTCAATCACCCAGACTGACGTGGTTATTCCCACGTTGGATACTGTTCGTCACGAAGATGTGCTCTACTCATGGCTTGCCGAACACAAGCCATTGCTTCTTTGTGGCCCCCCTGGTTCAGGTAAAACGATGACCTTGTTCAGCGCCCTCCGTAAGTTGCCCAACATGGAGGTTGTCGGTCTGAACTTCTCCAGCGCTACTACACCCGATCTTTTGATCAAGACCTTTGAACAATACTGCGAGTACAGAAAGACGTTGAACGGTGTGATGCTCTCCCCTACTCAAATTGGCCGCTGGCTTGTCGTCTTCTGCGATGAAATCAACTTGCCAGCGCCTGATAAGTATGGCACCCAGAGGGCCATCTCATTCTTGCGACAGCTCGTTGAGCACAATGGCTTTTGGAGAACATCTGACAAGTCTTGGGTCACCTTGGATCGAATCCAATTCGTTGGTGCTTGTAACCCTCCGACCGATGCTGGCCGTACCCCTCTTGGTGCTAGATTCTTGCGTCACGCTCCTCTCATCATGGTTGATTACCCTGGCGAGCTGTCCCTCAACCAGATTTATGGTACCTTTAATACTGCCGTGCTCAAGATCATACCATCTCTTCGCGGTTACGGAGAAGCTCTTACACATGCCATGGTCCGATTCTATCTGGAGTCACAGCAAAGGTTCACGCCCAAGATTCAGCCCCATTATGTTTACAGTCCTCGTGAACTTACTCGATGGGTTCGTGGTGTGTATGAGGCCATCAAGCCTCTTGAGACGCTATCAGTGGAAGGTCTCATTCGCATCTGGGCACATGAAGCCCTTCGCCTGTTTTCAGATCGTCTTGTCGAAGAAGATGAAAGGAAATGGACGGACGATGCTGTTCGACGTATCGCACTTCAATTTTTCCCCATGATTGAAGAGGAGAAGGCACTTGGTGGCCCAATTTTGTTCTCCAACTGGCTTTCCAAGAACTATGTCCCCGTTGATCGTGAGCAACTGAGAGAGTTTGTCAAGGCTCGGCTCAAGACCTTCTGTGAAGAAGAGGTCGACGTGCCTCTGATTCTCTTCGATGATGTCCTGGAGCATGTCCTGCGCATCGATCGTGTTTTCAGACAGCCACAAGGTCACTTGATTCTCATCGGTGTAAGTGGCAGTGGCAAGACCACCCTCTCACGCTTTGTTGCCTGGATGAACGGTCTTCGGGTCTTCCAAATCAAAGTTCACGGCAAATATTCCGGTGAAGATTTCGACGAGGATCTTCGAGAGGTGCTCAGACGCTGTGGTTGCAAGGGTGAAAAGATTTGCTTTATCATGGACGAGTCTAACGTGCTGGACTCTGGTTTCCTTGAACGCATGAATACACTTCTTGCCAACGCTGAGGTTCCCGGTCTCTTCGAGGGCGATGAGTACGCTGCACTTATGACGGCCTGCAAAGAAGGTGCTCAGCGACAAAACTTGCACCTGGACTCACCCGAAGAATTGTACAAGTGGTTCACGCAGCAGATTGTCAAGAACCTCCACGTTGTATTCACAATGAACCCTCCAGAGGATGGTCTAGGCTCAAAGGCTGCCACTTCCCCTGCCTTGTTCAACAGATGCGTTCTTAATTGGTTCGGAGACTGGTCTGATCAAGCCCTCTTCCAGGTTGGACATGAACTCACGCATTCAATCGATCTTGACAAGGCCAGTTACCAGGCTCCTGATACAATCCCAGTCGCTTACCGTGGCCTCCAACTGCCTCCATCCCATCGTGAAGCAGTTGTTAACTCAATGGTTCATATACACTACTCTCTTCACCGTTACAACAAGAGATTGCACACTCAGCAGGGCAAGGTGACGTTCCTCACCCCTCGTCATTTCCTGGACTTTGTAGGCCAGTACGTCAAGCTTTATAATGAAAAGCGTGAGGATCTGGAAGAGCAACAGCGCCATCTCAACGTTGGTTTAGAGAAACTGAGGGACACTGTAGACAAGGTGCGCGACCTGCGTGTCAGTTTAGCAGAGAAGAAGAAGCAGCTGGAGCAGAAGGATGCGGAGGCGAACGAGAAGCTTCAGAAGATGGTTGCCGATCAGCGCGAGGCTGAGCACAGAAAGACTATATCGCTCAAGTTCCAGGCCGAACTCGAGAAGCAAGAGGCCGAGGTGGCTTCACGGAGGAAGGTGGTGTTGGAAGATTTGGCCAAGGCAGAACCCGCTGTGGAGGAAGCCAAGCGGAGTGTCAGTAACATTAAAAGACAGCAGCTGGTCGAAGTGCGAGGTATGGGAAGCCCCCCCGCAGGTGTTAAGTTGGCGATGGAAGCCGTTGTCACACTTCTTGGACACAAGGCAACGGATTGGAAGAAGGATGTCCTGGGTGTGGTCAGAAAAGACGATTTCATTGCCAGCATTATCGCTTTTGACAATGAGGCCAGGATGAACAAGCCCCTCAGAGACAAGATGTACAAGGAATTCTTGGGCAACCCCGAGTTCACCTTTGAGAAGGTCAACCGCGCATCGAAGGCATGCGGACCGCTCGTGCAGTGGGTCAGAGCTCAGGTCGAGTACTCTGGCATTCTGGACCGTGTTGGCCCGTTGAAGCAAGAGGTTACTGAGCTTGAGGAACAGGCATTGCAGACCAAGGCAGAGGCCAAGGCTGTCGAGAACAACATCAATGAGCTGGAGGCAAGCATCAACACCTACAAGACCGAATACGCCGCTCTCATTAGTGAGACGCAGGCTATCAAATCGGAGATGTCCAAGGTCCAGTTCAAGGTCGACCGCAGTGTTCGTCTTCTTGATAGCCTGTCCTCTGAACGAGTACGATGGGAGGAAGGAAGCAAGTCTTTCGAGACTCAGATAAGTACCTTGGTAGGAGACGTGCTCGTCGCCGCAGCCTTCTTGGCATACAGCGGTCTTTACGACCAAACGTTCCGAAAGTCCATGATTGAGGACTGGTTCCATCAGCTACACCTCTCGGGTGTTCAGTACAAATCGCCAAATCCTATTACTGAATATCTCTCTGATGCGGATGAGCGTCTGGGTTGGCAACAAAACGGCCTCCCGGTCGATGACCTATGCACTGAAAACGCCATCATTCTAAAGCGTTTCAACCGCTACCCTCTCATCATTGATCCAACAGGCCGAATTCCCGAATTCCTGCAGAAGGAAAACAAGAACCAGCGCCTGACGGTGACTAGCTTCTTGGATGATGGATTTATCAAGCAGTTGGAGTCATCTCTGCGATTTGGCAATCCTATTCTCATTCAGGATGCTGAATACTTGGATCCTGTGCTGAACCACGTGTTGAACAAGGAATACCAACGAACAGGTGGTCGTGTTCTCATCCAGCTTGGAAAACAAGAGATCGATTTTTCCCCTGCGTTCAAGCTGTACCTCTCCACCCGCGATCCCTCGGCTACATTTGCCCCCGATATTTGCAGTCGAACAACCTTCGTCAACTTCACAGTCACCCAAAGCAGTCTCCAGACGCAGTCCCTTAACGATGTACTTAAGTCAGAGCGACCCGATGTCGACGAAAGGCGATCAAATCTCATCAAGTTGCAAGGAGAGTTCAAGATTCATCTGCGACAGCTTGAGAAGCGTCTGCTTCAGTCGCTGAATGAATCTCGCGGTAATATTCTCGACGACGACAATGTCATTGAGACGCTTGAAACGTTGAAGAACGAAGCCGCCGAGATCTCTGCGAAGATGAGCAACACTGAAGGAGTCATGACCGAAGTGGAACAGATCACGCAGCAATACAGCGTCATTGCCAAGTCTTGCAGTGCTGTCTTTGCTATTCTCGAGCAGCTCCATTTCTTGAACCACTTTTACCAGTTCTCTCTTCAGTATTTCCTCAACATCTTCCAGTCCGTGCTGCACAACAACCCCAAACTGGCCAGTGAGACCGACCACAACAGCCGTCGTGATATTATCGTTCGCGATCTCTTTGTCAACACCTTCAAACGCACATCACTTGGGTTACTTCAGAAGGATCGCATTACCCTCGGCATGCTCCTTGCTCAAGCGACACCATATCAAATGGAGAAGTCAATTATCGATATCATCCTAGACAGCCAGGTCGAAGGCAAGGATATGTCGAGTAACCCTGAGCTGAGGGATGAGGCGTTTGCAGAGGCTAGAAAGCTCACACCTCTGAAGACGACATTGGACAGCCCTTCCAACGAGGACTGGGACAAGTTCTTCACCGAAGAAGAGGCCGAGAAATCCGTGCCCCAAATTTGGGGCGACAATACATCGGCCAACGACAAAGCCTTGCTATCACTGTTGCTTGTCAAGATGTTCCGCATGGATCGGTTTGTGCCTGCGGCTGAACGCTTCGTTGGCGAGGTCTTTTCACCAGACATTTTCGACGTCGTTGAAGATCTGAAGGAGACTGTTAGCCAAGTTGCCGCCACATTGCCCATCTCGCTTGTTTCCAGCCCTGGATTTGACGCCAGTTACAAGGTTGACAGCCTGGTAGAGAGAGTTGGCGTTCGCTGCACCAATATCGCCATGGGATCCAACGAAGGACTGGCAAGTGCCGACAAAGCCGTGAGCGAGGCTGCCCAGACTGGGTCTTGGGTTCTTGTCAAGAATGTGCATCTTGCACCAACCTGGCTTCAGAGTCTTGAAAAACGCATGGACGCACTCAACCCACACAAGGATTTCCGACTCTTCTTGTCTATGGAATCTAGTCCAAAGATTCCTGTCAATCTTCTACGTGCATCTCGTGTTCTCATGTATGAGCAGCCGGCTGGTATCAGGGCCAACATGAAGGACTCTATGTCCTCACTTTCGACAAGAACCAACAAGAGCCCCGTGGAGAGAACCAGACTGTACCTGCTCCTCTCATTCCTGCATGCTGTTGTTCAGGAACGGCTGCGATATGCACCAAATCTTGGTTGGAAGGGATTCTGGGAGTTCAACGATAGCGATGTAAGTGCAATGAATGACCAATATATATCTTCACGTGTGATTTTGACAAGCGCTGACTCTTTCATAGTACGAATGCTCTGCTTTCATTGCCGATACCTGGCTTGATGTGGTGGCTGGCAACAGGACCAATATTGCACCTGCAAATATCCCTTGGGACATGATTCGTTACCTTGTCACGGAAACCTACGGTGGCAAGATTGATGATGAGGGCGATTTCAAACTCCTTGGTCAGCTGGTGTCGACATTCCTCGTTCCCGAGGCCTATGATGTGGATCACAAACTCGTTGATGGGCCTGATGGAAGCAGTCTTGTTGTGCCGTCTGGAACAGGCGTTCAAGACTTTGTGTCCTGGATTCACAAGCTGCCTGAGCGTGAGCCGCCAAGCTATCTGGGACTGCCGGCGAATGCCGAGAAACTGCTGCTCGTTGGTCTGGGCCGAGCGCTGATTGGCAATCTTCGCAAGGTCACGGAGCTTTTAGACGAGGGAGAGCAGCTTGTGATAGATTCGTGAGACGAATTCAGGGGACGAAGTGTGTATGTGTGTGTACGATGGTGAGAGAGGGGAGAAACGTCTGTAGATGAAGCTCTGTTTTGCTTGTTCCATCCTTTTTCTTTCATTTTTATAATATTATTAGTATAGCATCAGTGTGGTTCTTCTAACGGAAGCCACGATACTGGATGATCTTGGTGGAGCGACTGTTGAGTATTATTCCTGTTGCACTGATCTGATACCCTAAGACCAAATAGATTATACTCTTCTTTGTTCAAACACGACTTGTTATTTCCCTCCTATCTTAATTTCTGCATGATAGTGGTCTTAAATTTTATTCTTCCCCGTACTTGATGGACGAAAGTCGGTGTCACACAAGGACTCGATGTAGTTACCCACCAAGGTGCTGATGAGCTGGTGGAAGTGGAACAGGACAGGCCTGGGCCTGCTTGGCTGGACGGGATGTGGCGGCTGTGTGCGGCTGAGCACCCCAGGCAATTGGCCCACGCAGCTGATGGTATAGCTGATGGTATAGCTGATAAGGTGGCCAGGTGGGTTGCGTTGGGCTGGGATAGGTCGCCGGACCAGGTTTCTGCGCAGCCATAGGCTGGCTCGCGACGGGTGGCACCGCAGGTCAGATTAGGTGGGAGATGCACGGGGAAATAGATGGATAGGTAGGTATGTATGGAGAAACGTGGTGTCTCGGACCGCCCGTATAATGCTTAGGGTGTGCTGGCGCGCCGCTGATAGCGCTGTCAAAGCCTGCAGGCTCTAATTGCAGTTGAGGTCGGGTGGTGTGAGCACGCGCAATGCCGGCGGCCAAGGCACGGCAGTCTAGGACGTCACCCGGATCACCCACCTCATTTCCACTACCCACCTGATCCTGGCGACGGGCAGCTTTTCTTCATCCACCTGCTTCGCTCGCTGTCTTGTCTCGCGAATCGAACGGGCAGCTTTGCCCACGGAGAGGGAGGTAGATCGCCAACTTGCTTGCGTCTGCCTGCTTGCCAGCAGTTCGTCTGCTCTCTCATCCGCTCGCTCGCTCTCAATTTCGTCCTTACTTCTTTCTCTTCATCCTCTCCCTTTTCTCTTACAAGCCCGTCCCGTCTCAGGTCAGGTTCCTCTCTTCGAATCGCGCTCTCTTGAAACGCCACACTTTCCTTTCCGCTCTTCTTCTTTTCTTTCTCCTAGCGAGTGCGATGCTTTGCAGAGCTAGTTTCATTCCGACAATTGGGCGCCAAAAAATATGTCAACATCAATTACACTCGGCTCCGAATCTTGTGAATAGACGACATCTCGCTTTACCCACACTCGATTGAACTGACTGCTGCGGCTGCGGCGCCACACTCTGAACGGCGGCCATGTCGCGCCTCTCACATTCCAACTCATCCGACGGCCAGATTTCCGAGAACCACCCCTCCAGCACAGCTCCCAGTGGCAGCACGGTCCCTCCGCAATGCGAGACACGGCTCCGCGCTCCGAGATCTCTTCCTCGTATGTCGATTCCTTCCAGTGTTTCGTCAGACATCCAATATAGCCGCTAACGTGCCATTTTCTAGCCTGGATTGATTCATATGAAGAGAGGTATGGACCCGCCCCCAAAGATCAACTGGATCTCCTACGCCCACCTAATACGACCCGACCTCATCACAATTCTACCCCGAGCGAGCCGAAACGCCGTGTGTCCAAGGATGGATTTATAGACTGGGAGGATGCACAGCTGGGTCCGGGCCAGCGACCTCGAGGCGCCATCCCCCACATCCTCCGGTACGGCCGCGCACCAAAGAGAGGAAGGAAATGGGACCACTTGCGATCTGCCGAACCCGTTATTGTCTCCGGCTATGTCCCGACAACCATCTCAGGCCCCCCAATGGCATGGCGTGATTTCGTCCACGCATCCAAATACGGGCATCTCACAGGCGAAGAGAGCGAGATTATGAATCCCGGCGACCTTGAAAAGCTGCAGCCAAACTTCAACCAACCTGTACGAGGGGCCTACAACCCGTTGGATATACGCACATCACGACGGAGAAGAGCTATCGCTCCCTACAAGAGGATATGGAATCTTGTCATGCGACATCCTTTCTCGCCCCTCCTCTTCCGGCTAATTGTCATGGTAACCTCGATTCTCGCATTGGGAGTCGCCGGGAGGATCTTCTACCTGGTGGAACATTCGGAAAACAAGAGGACTCCAGAACGGAGTCAGGCTGTTATGGCCATCGTGGTGGACTGTGTCGCCTTGCCTTACATTGGATACATGATCTGGGATGAGTATACGGGGAAACCGCTCGGGCTACGCTCTGTTGTCTCAAAGGTATCACTCATCTTGCTTGACCTCTTTTTCATCATCTTCAAGTCAGCCAGTACAGCGCTAGCGTTCTCAACCCTGATATTTCACGGGTCGTCTAATGATGGTGCGCGAGCTCTGGGCAAGGCCTTGGCGGCATTCATGTTGATGGCATTGATCTCTTGGACGATTAATTTCATCATTAATATTTTCCGAACGGTTGGGCGGCTCGGTCGTGGTGATGACGAGCGTGGGTGATGCAGGCGCATAACGACTATCACCCCTGCGTCTGCCGGGGCCATCAAGGATGACAACCTAGCCACATTCTCCCCTGCAGGCGTTTTCTGTGACTGACTGATGCTTATCTTTCCTGCAAGGGCTGGGACTCTTTCATATGGGATGAGTGTTCGGTCCACCGCGATGAGTCAGAAGGTACCTGATGGCTGTTTCTTATTCTTTTATTGCATTCTACCTATAGCCTGGTGGCGTTTCTTCTTTACACGTGATTACGACAGTACTGGGTGACGGCCTCAATGTTAGGTTTCTTGTTCCTTGATGCTGCTCTGAGCAAGTTGGGTCCTTCCCCTCTTGGTTTCTTTTCGTTTGGCAAAACAGCGAGTGTATTGATATTGATAGAATTAGCCTCTAATATAGCTATTCTAGAAGTGAAGCCTTCCATTCCACCAACTTTCTGCATGTGCCCTGCGTGATACAGCCCTCGAGGATGACCATTGTCGGTGCGGTGCTGCCTACCTTGCAGATGAATCGAACCTTGCAGCGTGACAGTAGATAGGATAGGATCTACGATTATTGGTGGAACATCAAGGCTAATACTGATGCAGAACATGAATCCAAAGTGAAAATGCTCTGGCAATAATGGAACGCCCTAATAAACATTTGGAGAGAGCAGAGCATTAGTCTATTTTAAGCACCGCCTTATGGCTTTCTCCACTCGAACAATCGGGTCGGGCGGTCGCAGGCGGCAGAAAGACTCGCTAGACTTTGTTAGGCACCGGGGTGACTGGGCTGGGAGCTTTGGCCCCTTGGGAGGACCGGGCGGCAGGCACCAGCCCATGGCCCATGGCTCGTGCCTGCCTGTTGGCAGCAGCCAAACGTGTGTGCTTGCGCTTCAGCTTTAGTCACAACTCTGCCTCACGCCCTCTTATTACCTACCCACGACCAACCTTCCGCCTTTAACTTTCTTCTTTCCTTTCTTACCCACAGCGGCCTTCCCGTTCTCTTCCTTCTTTGTTCAATCGGTGGGTTCGATCTGGTTCTATTGTATTTGAACTAGCGAGTCCTTGGGTCGATTGCTTCTTTGTTCGAGCACTCCAGCCCCTCCCGACCATAAATACATACCTTGTCGCAGCACCTTGTTACAGCAACACGTTTCAGCTGACGATAAAACGGCCGCCGATTCTTTCGCACAATCCAGATATTTAGATCGAATCGTTTTTCCTGGGGGTGCACCACAACCTAGCAACGTTCCCGAAGCCGAAGCACGCATAAAAGGCCGGTGTGTGTGCAGTGAGACCAATCAGCATACCACCTCCCTCCAACAACAAAAAGCTCCCGATCTGCGGTCGTTGAACCCCTCCAACCCAAACCCGCCATTTTGGCTCTGCAGTACAACAACATCCTTCCGACAAAGAATACCGTCAAGATGGCTGCCAGAGTTGCCCCCTCGCGAAGCACCATGCCTCCGATGCCCAACAAGGAGGATATTCGTTCAACGTAAGGATCGCTGCCCCTCCCCCTCCTACTGCACGGGCATCTAACAATTCTCTCTTCTAGATGGGACTATCTGCAGGCGGGCATTTCGCGTATCATGAACGACCTCGAGGCTGGGATTGATATGAACCTCTATATGGGTGTCTACACGTAAGCTCATCGCCCCAACACTCGGGGATGGGGTGTTTCCTGTGGCTAACGAGATCCTAGTGCTATTCACAACTTCTGCACATCACAGAAGGCTGCCGGCCTTGGCAGCCCTGCTATGCACTCCAACCATCGTGGAGGTTAGTCGCTTCACACCCCGCACCCTCACGTTGATTGTCCAAAACTCTAACACTGGAACAGCACACCTGCTCGGCGAAGAGCTCTACAAGAAGCTTATCGAATATCTCGAGGCTCACCTGAAGGAGCTCCTGGAGGACTCGAAGTCCCACAACGATGAGGCCTTGCTCGCATTCTATATCAAAGAATGGGTTCGCTACACGACCGCTGCCAAATACATCCACCATCTCTTCCGCTACCTGAATCGCCATTGGGTTAAGAGGGAGATCGACGAGGGCAAGAAGGACATTTATGACGTATACACCCTCCACCTGGTTCAGTGGCGTAAGGTGTTGTTCGAGAAGCTCTCTTCCAAGGTGATGGATGCTGTCCTTAAGCTCGTTGAGAAGCAGCGAAATGGTGAGACCATCGAGCACGGCCAGATCAAGCAGGTCGTTGACTCGTTCGTTTCCCTCGGCCTGGACGAGGCTGATACATCCAAGTCGACCTTGGATGTTTACCGACAGCATTTCGAGAAACCCTTCCTCCTTGCTACCAAGGAGTTCTACCAGGCCGAGTCGAAGCAATTTGTTGCCGAGAACAGCGTTGTCGAATACATGAAGAAGGCCGAGGCTCGATTAACAGAGGAGCAAGAACGTGTGAACATGTACTTGCACCAGGATATCGCTGGACAGCTGAAGAAGACCTGTAACCAAGCGTTGATTGCCGACCACTCGGT